TGAAGTTGTAACTGAAAGAATTTGGAGAAATTGTATTTGCGTAATTGTGTAACTGATAGAATTTAGGGGAAAAGATTTTACTCTAAAAGGTGTGAATGTAAATTAAATTCTGTAACTTAAACTTTCTGCCTAGCCTTTAAATACTTACAGGTAATTAAATAGAAAAAGGGAAAAAAAGGAAAAATATTGTGAAAATCTGAGAAAATANGTCACTGAACTATGCCTATTGCACTCAGAAGGTCACTCAACTAGATTTTTCAAATTTTGGATTATCAAATACCTATTTTACCCTCTAAATTATAGACATTTATCTTCTTTTTATTTTTTTAAACTTTTTAATATTACGACTTTCCCTTTTAAATTTACATTATGGACTTACCTATACAATAAATAAATATTATTTATAAATTAAAAAAAGTATTTAAGCATATATAATGCTGGATTAAAAAAATAATGAGCATAGTAAAAAAAATAATTAGAATAATTTGTTAGTAATAATAATTTTAGTATTAACAACAAAAATTTAAAAATTTATTTAGACAATTTAGAATGAAATAAAATAAAGGTTGTAAAATATATATTCCATGCACGTAATATAAAAATAATTATTTAAATAAAGGTATTTTTATAATATACATTATATATTTTGAAAATTATTCTCAATTATATTATATATATTCCATGCACGACTTAACATAGCATATCTTACCTATACAGATAGTTTCTCTATTTTTCGGTGACATAACTTTGTGTCGTTGGAAAGTTAGAAGAAACATAATAATATATTTGAACATAATTTTCAAGAATATATAATTTATACTATAAAAATATCTTTATTTAAATAATTATTTTTATATTACGTGTATGAAATATATATTTTACAATCTTTATTTTCTTTCATTTTGAATTGTGTAAATAAATTTTTGAATTTTTATCGTTAATATTAAAAAGTTTTAAAAAAATAAAAAAGAAGGTAAATGTTTATAATTTAGAGGGTAAAAATAAGTATTTGGCAATTGAAAATTTGCAAAATCTAGTTGAGTGACCTTCTGAATGCAATAGACATAGTTCAGTGACTATGTTGTTACAAACGAAAGAAAAGTGACTTTAGGAGATAATTTGAGATAGTTGAGTGACCATTTAAGTAGTTGACTCGGGTTTCAACTTATTTAGGGTCATTTGAAATGAATCCAACATAATAAGATATGAATACTATTAGGTGTTTGCCTTAATTTTCTTACCATAGTTGGTTTTCCTGTTTGTTGAAGGAAATGGCAACATGTTTACCTTAATTGGGTTTTCCTTCTTGTAGAAGGAAATTATAAATCTTCCATGTTTGGCTAGTCCTTTTTCTTGTAAGAAAAGGTTTGGAATTCTATAAATTGAAGATCCGTCTTTTTCATTCAGTAGCATCCACAATGTAGCCATATGGAGTTTGAGAGTCGTATTTAGGGGGAGAACTTTACGGGACAAGTGTTAGTATGTCACTTGTGTTTGCCTCTTCGTGAGGTTGTTTTCTCGATATTTTGTATTCTCTTTTTATATAGTGGATTGCTCATCTCCACCGTGGACGTAGGTCAGTTGACCGAAGCACGTTAAATGTTTGTGTCTCTCTTGGCAGATTTCTCTTTTGTTATAGGACTTATCGTCGTTCAAGGTTTGTTTTGCTATCTTTCGCATGACACCTGATTTTTTCGGTCCTAACAAGTGGTATCAGGGTGAGGTTCAAGACAAGTTCATCTTGGCGGGTTCAGTTCTAGCCGCATCATATTTGACGATAATCGTGATATTTGTCTGAGAAATTTGACCGGTGTGCTACGCACGCTCAGACAAACATCATGGTGGAGATTTAGAGATGCGACATGTTGAAGGCTATGTGAAGAAGGTGGATCAAGTTTATTTTGTTAGAAAATTCAGGCCAAGGGGGAGAATTGTTAGGTGTTTGCCATAATTTTTTTACCATAGTTGGTTTTCCTGTTTGTTGAAGGAAAGAGCAACATGTTTACCTTAATTAGATTTTCCTTCTTGTAGAAAGAAATTACAAATCTCCCATATTTGGCTAGTCCTTTTTCCTGTAGGAAAAGGTTTGGAGTTCAATAAATTGAAGATCCATCCTTCTCATTCAGTAGCATCCACAATGTAGCCATATGGGGTTTGAGAGTCGTATTTAGGGGAGAACTTTACGGGACAAGTGTTAGTGTGTCACTTGTGTTTGCCTCTTCGTGAGGTTGTTCTCTCGATATTTTGTATTCTCTTTTTATATAGTGGATTGCTCATCTCCACTNTATATGTGTGTGTGTGTGTGTGTGTGTAGAAAAACATAATTTTTTATTTATATACGCATTATAAATTTTTATAAATAAGTTCAACTGACCACCCGTGACTACGCCACTGAATACAACATACATTCTCCATTTGCGTAAGTGCGTGGGTTTTCATTTATTTACTTGTCCGCCGTTAACGTGCATTTTTATGACTTGTTGATTCTTAAGTTCAATTATGTAATTATAGGTGTAAACACACGTACAGATAAAAATATCTGTTATGTCCATCAAATAACATATTTTTTGAGATTTTACACGAATAGTCATTTGAATTCACTATTTACTTTTCTTAGTTAGTATATATAAATTATACATTGAGTATACACAGTTACACATATTATATATACATTATACATATACTTCATTTTATTAGTTTAAGTGGTCGGTAGGTGGTTATTTGTCATCTTTATACAAGTAGTCGGCTGAATTTACTGTTTACTTTCATAGCCGATATTCATAGATTATACACTGGTTATACACAATTATACGCATATATAAGTAAGTGAAAAGAAGTGGGGAAAAAAAGCACAATTTAGGGGTGAGCATTCGGCTGTTCAGATTAAATATGAAAATTTCGGTTTGGATTTTCGGTTTTCGGATTGAAGAAATGATAATCCAAATCCAATCCAATTAAGCTCGGATTGGATCGGATTTTATAAGTTCGATTTTGGATTAATCGGTTTGTATATTTTGGATTTTTGATTTTGAGCTTATAAGTTAAGATGTTTCTTCTTTTTACAAAAAGGAATATCCAAATGAACTACTCATGTTAAATTGCCTCAAAAGTTCCCCATTGTTATCTCAATCATTCAAATAAAATATTCAAGTAATGAAATTATTATCAAGGATATGCAACATAGTCGTTACACATTGTGTCTTTATTTTTTTCTCTTTTGTTATTGTTATTATTGGTTGCTCCCTGTTTAGCCTTCCTTAAGCCGATGGTCTATCGGAAACAACCTCTCTACCTTCACAAGGTAGGGGTAAGGTCTGTGTACACACTATCCTCCCCAGACCTCACTTACGGGATTACACTGGGTTTGTTGTTGTTGTTGTTGCAATAGAGACATTAATACAACTGATAAGAAGTAGCTATAATAAAACCATATCCAAATAGAAAGTATTATAACAGTAACTTAGTAATTAATATTGAATATATGAGATAATATCTAATGGGTAGGGCGTTGAACTTATTACTACTGGCATATGAATAATGAACTAAATATAAAGTATAAAAATTAAATTTTCGGATATCTAAAATTTCGAAGAATAAAATCCATTATCCAATTTGAAATCCAAAAATTTTAAAAATCAGATAAAAAGTCCACTCCGTAATTCGAAAATCCAAACTAAAAATCCAAAAAAATTAGATTTGGATTTGGATTTCAGCCCAAACTATGCCCACCCCCAGCACAATTGAAGCCAATGAGTACACAACAAGTCAACAATAAAAACAAAAACTGAAGGGCTTTTGTGTCAATTAGC